AAGACACGACAGGTGCACATATATTGTCTGTTGACGATTCCTACAAATTTATCTTTCAAGGGAACACAATCAAATGTCCTCTTCTGATTTTAATAAGTTTCGAATATGTTAAAATATAGACAAAAATAAGAAATAAATTTGTTAATGTTATAAAGTACTCTTGAAATCATTTTTATTTAAAAAATTTTATTTAAAACATTTTTTTATATCTTTGAAGGTTCAGATAATATTCATTGAGGAAGAAAAAAAATCAATTTTTTTGAAGAGTTTCACGCTCTCTATACACAAGAAAACACTTAAAAAAATACATGTCCTTCATTTTTGTCTACAAACATATTCTCATTATAAACCAGAAATCCGATAAAATATGCATCAATAGTCTAAATTTCAATTTATATTCCGATACATTTAGCTCAAATTGTCTAGTGCTTATTTGACAATGAAACTATTTTTCTCTTTGCGAGGAAATGATATTTTCACCTTATAACTTATCTCGTAAACAATTTATTATTTCTACGTACAAGGTGACTAAAGTCCTGTTGCAAATTATAATGTAGTCTGCAAGTAGTAATTTAAACGACATTGACTTAGGAAGAAAAAACCGATTTTTTTCAAAATAGAGTTCTACCCTCAGAAAGTACTTATTAAAAAAATACCTATTTTTCATTCTTGTCTATATGTTAACATATGTAGTACGCAACATTCTCGACATCGATCGATTTAATATATACGAGTATCTTCCACGACTTATATATACATTTGACAATCCCAATTATCGAACTGACAATTCGGTATTACCGTAATCATATTGATTATACATGTCACTTTCCCCTCCATACAAAACCGTACAAAACAAGGGGAGCTGAGTCGCGATGGTACATTGCAAAATAAACCACGTACGATATGAATCCGGAAATGGAAAAGTACTATGCCATCAATAAATTATTTTTGTCAGGAATCGGTGTTTGGCCGTATCAGCGAAAAGTGCTGAAAGTGTTTTTACCATGTCTCTTATCAACGATACATTATGCTACCATCGTAAATCAGGTAACATGTCGTATTAACGAGCAAAAAAGTTGTTAGATTACAGTAAAAAAATATATATTTATCTTAAATAAAGATATTGCATAAAAAAAATATATATTTGAGATACAAACTTGGACTTAACGGGATTCTCGCTATTGAACGAGGATTTACTTATAACATCGTGACGATACTCTTATGAACATGGTGGGGTAACAGTTTAGTTGCTTATGATACAATTATGTTATTACTTCTGTTTTTTAATCGCGGTTAAATTATTAGGTCAATATGAATGTATGTTAACTGAAGAAGACTCTGTGAGTCGAAACGTATTCATGTATAAGAATTGGAGTGATTTTGTATTTCAAATATATATATATTTTTATTGTAATCTATCAATTTTTTGTTCGTTTTTGGTCGTTATTTTATTGTGTTGCTTTGTCAAATAACCGAGCGTTTTATATTATTGTTTAACGTCGTATTAATTTCAAGTATATGTAGTAGTATAAATTTTTTAAGTGAATTTAATTCTCTCCTTATATTAAAAAATATATTTGTCACTTGTACTTTAATGTTGCTACGTCATTGTTGCTTTTTAGGTAGTTCTAGTATACGATACTTGGGGTAATATGGATATTATCGTTGAAGCTATAACTGTCATTACTGTCATTATTGGTGCTTGTACAAAGCTTATTAATATCATTGTGAATAATCACAAAGTAAGTATTACATAAATCAATATCGGTAATAGTACAAGATCTCACCGCGAGTTTGTGCACCTATCGCGTATGCAGATGAAACATAAAAAAAAATCGAAGTTCGTGTCGAGAGCAACACTAAACCGCAAGGATGCCTAAAAAAAAGTGGTCATTAATTACGACGTTTTTAATTAAAAAATTTTGAAAAAATGACCCATTGCGTATGTTTATACCATAAAAGGGAAAGGGAAGGATCTGTAGATTACTCGGTAGATTACGAAAATGGTAAGATATCACCTTTAAAGTGGTTACAACTCTAGCAGCCAGAGTAAAGAGGGTGAGTTTTGTTCATTAAATGCATCCATCGCGTGGTTCAATAATTTTTGCACCAGCTCGTAGCTTAATGTTTACTCTTTACGACAGAATAGGATTGCCTTTAAAAAAACTGGTCCAAAGTGAGGGTTGCCAATGTTTTAAAAAATCGCTCCGGCTGGCGAAAGCGAATTCGTGAAAGAAGAAGCGGCTCCGGGCGGTGAACAAGGACGCAGCAACTGACGGTTGAACGTGCACGCGAGTTTGTGTACGTCATAGTAGCGTGCAGTAGCGCATATACGTTCGACTGTCAGTTGTTGCGTCTTTGTTCACTGTTCGGAGCCGCGCACTCGCCACTTTTTTTTTAGGCACCCATGCGGTTTAGTGTTGCGATGCTAAAGCCTCCTGTTTTACCACATTTCCATTCGGTGAAAAATCTCTGTATTGGATGTACGGATTGCAAAAGTATTATTGCTTAAATTAAA